CAAATCGTTTTGTTAGAATACATTACCGCTTTTTAGAATTTGTTTGGGTTGTGGCTTGTATTATTTATTACTATTTTGAATGAGGATCTGTTATTTTTATAAGTTTATATTTGTTTCTGATTAGCATACTTTAGCGTTTATTCATCCTTTTGCATATGAAAGATTTAACTACTAAATTTCTTTGCTGACTGGATTAAAAGTACTGCAGATCTAATTGTATTGTTCATAGATGCAAAATTCTCAACTTTTGCTGCATAAAAATTTGCATAAGCGAGTGCAGTTTGATTTAATACTGACTTATATTAATACTTAACTAATACTTCTGCCCTTAAAAGTTTCTATTTAAACCTTGCTAATCTTAAAAAATAAACAAGGAAAATTGAAATCTACTATACTCCAGTGTAAGATAAAAAGTTACTTCTTGTCTGATTCTCGTTTTCTTTCCTCTTCTGTTCTGTACCTGCTTTTTGTTATCTAATAAGTTCCGGATTATCCCTCACGATTGTTTTTTTAATGAAAAAATTCTTCAATATGTCCACTAACATTTTGCTCAATCTCAAAGAAGTTTGTACATTTCTTATAATTATAGCCACAATCACTACTGTTAGCACTTGTATTCTGCATTTTAGAAATAATTCACATATTTCCTCCACCTTCATGAAATTTAATGCACACGCTTTTGACAGATGAGTTTTTGGTAGACTCGTCCAGTTTTATAGAATGATATGAATTATTGATAAAAATGCATTAAAATATAAAATTTATGTAATATAATATTGATGTATAGAAGTTTAAAAGGGACTAAATTGACACAAGAAGTTGATGAACTGCATGAAAATAATAATAAGATTAGCAATTATTTTAGAGTATAAGCAATATCAATTTTCTTTGAAATCTTATCTTGCTTGCTGCTCGTTATTATGGCGAAAATTTTTGAATTATAGTTAAGATCTTGCAAATTCTTTAATTTTCTTAACTCAATAGTAAAAATAAAAAGTTAAATAATGATGATCATAAAAATGATGAGAGATAAGTAAACTCTCAACATTTGGGATTTGTTCCTACACAAATGAAAATAAAATACGAGACGCAAAGTAAGATACCCCAAAATTCTATAACATACATATCTAATTCTATCTTTGATAACATGATTTGATTTGTAAATCTTCCTAGTGCATCTTATATCAGATTGAAATTATTTATTTATAAAGCTCCACTGTTTCGCTAGCTTTACTAATATTTCTAGCAAAAGAAATAAAAGTATAAAAATATCTTATTTAAGATTACAATCCAAGACATATTTTGTAGTTAAAGACAATTATGTGAATTTTTTCAGCTAAAATGTCAAATTCCTGAAAAAATATATTATTAAGTTTTTATATTATCATGTGAATTAATGTGTGAATTTTCAAATAGGCAATCATCAATTCCCTTTACAGTTTTTCCTAGAGTTTTTTGCTTTTTGTTACACTGCCATCTAGGTGATCTAAAGGGGGAAAGCAAGAAAATTTGTTAAAAGTTAAAAAGTTAAAAAAGCAAGTGGAGATAGATTGAAATGCTTTCTTTAGTGATTTTGTATAAATTACTGATTAGTTGTTCAAGTCAATTTATTATTATATTATATTAAAACCGCATTGTTTCCAGAAATTGACTATTTTAGCTGTCTCAAAACCTTTAAACATTGACAAAGTAAGTCAAATCATCAAATTGACTTTCCAGTTGCTTGCATTTATCATAATTCTCATCATAACATTTCAATTTTTTTCGTTATTTATCTGCAGAACCTCTTCTTGACTGCAAGGAGAGTCGAAATACCACCATCGAGAGACTGGGTTACACTGGTTGATTTTCTGGCAAAAATTTGATCTCAATATTTAATGATTTATGGGCAACTTTGTGTCCACTGAAATTATCACACTCAAAAGAGCTTTTTTTCTTTTTTCAAAAAGTTCGTTTCTCTATCCTTTGACCGTCAGTTTTTGAAAACATAAAGATAGTTCAGACAAACCTATAATGATGTGCGATAACGGGCAATCGTTCGCAGATAGCGCCACCAAAAATTCTCTTGCAAAAATCCAAATATTTCATCCGCACTTTCATTAAAAATAAACGCGCCCATTTTAAGATAAGCTGCTAATGGACGCATGCAGTTGGTAATAACAATATTGATAAGAATACATTAGTATATAAACTTCACTAAATATTGCATAGATAGTTGAAAGAGAATAAACTGCCACCAGTAGTTGCACTAACTGCATAAAAATAAAAATGACATAATCCTAGCCTCAATTACAGGACTAGGAGTATATGTATTAATAAATTCAAATTCGCACTGAAAATATGACTATATTACCTTGATTTTTTTCTTATTACCAAAATTTTTGAATTATAGTTTTAGATCTTTTAAAGACTTTGGTTCGCACAACTCAACTGCGTAAATGAAAAGTAAAATGAGAACGACAGTAAATATGAGAAAAAAGATAAATAAATCTTTTAAAAGGTTGAATTCAAACATTAAAAATTTGCATGAAAATAAAAAACTAGACGAAAATAACAAAATAATAAAATTCTACAGTATATATAATAATTGGTCTACCTTTGATTATTTTCTTTGATTCGATTCTTTGATCACCTTCTGTTTATGTTTTATCATATTCAAATTATTTATTATTGAATCTAACCAATTTCGATGTAAATATTGGAGAGATAGACTTTTTCGGCGTTCTCCTATAAAGAAAGAAAATAAGACGCACTTTATGGCAATGGTTGTATATTACAATAAATGTATTTTCATTGATAGAAAATTCTTTTATTTTGAAAATCATAATAAATAATGATTCAAAACATTAGTAAATCTTGTCACAGGTCGTTCTTCAAATTATTATACTATATTTTAATGTACTTAAATAAACAAAATGGAATAATGAAACACGAGTAAAAAACAATGAAAACAGCAAAATTATCATTTCTATAGTATATAAATAGTTTGATTCAATTCATGCTTATTCTTTTCTTAATCCGGTATCTGGATGAAATTTTTGCAAAATTATTCATATGGGAAATCAACCAGTCTGTCTGTGTGTCTGTTAATCTTTTACTAACTTTCATCTTTCAAATCAATCTTAGATTTAGCTTGTGCCATCTATGGAAATATATCGAAAAACATAGCATTTATGTTCTTTAGAAACAAAAAAAGTCGTGATGAGCTAAGAAATTGTGGAATCGCACTCAAACAAAATGCAGAATAATGTAGATATAAGTGTGGTTATTAGAAAGCTAATTTATCTTTTCATATCAAAATCTGAAATTGATAACTAAATTAACTAACTAAATTTAAATGTATATATTTACCACGAACTTATGAGCTGTTAGAATTGAATCGAAAGGAAAATAAATCAATTTTATAATAAGACTTCGAATATCAAATTGTGTCAACCTTCAACGACAAATTTACAAATAACCTGACAATGTAAGGTGCATTACCTTATATAGTAACTGCAAGAAACATTGATTAGGTATTACAATCAGAGAAATTTATATTCAAGCTTATTGAATGCTGTTTTGTTTTCTGTGCATGGATTAATCTTATAGTGTGAATTTTCTGATATTTTGTTGTGATTTCTGTCTATAAAACTGTCTGTAAAACAAGTTAGGAACAACTGATAATCTTCTGATGGAATTTTTTTCCTTAAATTGACTTTTACATCCACCTTGATCCTATAAGTAGAGCTACTACATCTAAATTACACTGTCGTTAACTTATGCAAATCTGTCTTCAAATGGATCATCTTATTATTACTATAGTTATTTTCATTTAGCTCCAGGCATACTTGATATCTAGAGACATAAACTGTGCTAAAATGTTGCATTTTTCGTTTTTAATGCTTAGCTTAAAAGTCAAAGGACGCAAAAACAAATTGTAATAATGTAAAAAGCCGTTAGAATGTTTCTTTGGGTTTTGATTTCTTAAATTAATAATTAAACCAAGTTCGTTGATTGAAATTCGGACAATCGATTCAAACTTTCAAAAGTACAGCGAAACTGTATTTGACGAATAAATGCATAAAGCTATGCAGATCACTTAAATAATAACTATGAATGGGAGACAAAAAATAGAAATATGGCAATATAATCTTAAAAAAAGTTTCAGTAAAAGCAAAGCAAAAGACACTATAGGTGAGAAAATAAATTAAATAGCTATGAAATATTGTGTGATACATGATGAAGAAAAAAGCGAGCATTGCATTCTATACTTGAGAATGGAACTTTCAAATCGGTTACGAGATTGTAGTCAACATATAACTTTAAATAATGAAAATGCTGCTGGGATTAATATTTTATAATAAAATCTTAAGTTATTGAACAAATTGTAAAATACTCTAGATGTAAATGTAGACATTTAAAAATAGTATATCTTTCTCTCTCTCTCTCTTTTGCTTGCTTGTTTTGCAACTACAAAATTTGAAATTTCTCTTTTGATTTCCTTCTAGGTTGCAAAATTTAAGATTGAATTAATTACATTTCCATGTTAACCTGAAAAGATTATTTTTAATATTCTTTTATTCAAAATTGATGTTTATCAAAATGTAACTTGTGTGCATAAATCTTGCTGCCGTTTGTCCTTTAAAAATATTTTCCTGTATTAATGTGATCTTAAATGAAACAAACAATAAAATCAGAACAATCAGAAAAACAATAACAGTACTATGACTGGTAAACAATTGACAAACATCTAACATTTTTTAATCATAATGTAACTCGTGGAAAAATCAGTAATGCCTCTTTTATCTTTTAATCTTTGTCTAACTTCCATCTCACAAGTTGATCAGTAGAAAAACATAACATTTATGTTCTTAAGAGACAAAAAAAGTTCACGATGAGCTAAGTAATTTTAAATTTTAGATTGTAATTAATCTGAATCTGTTATCATTAAGCGAATATATTTACCACTTATATCGCGTTAACTTGAATGAAAGGAAAACAAGTTAATTGCTTTGTAATGAATTGAATAAATTGTATTGAATATTATTGCGACCTTGAAATTAAAATCAAAATTTGCACTGCCCTTTTGGCAGCCACAATTATTAGAGAGTTATTACAATTAGAGGAATTTTTTAATTCATTTTGCGATACAGCAGCATCAATTTTATCAAAAGATATCCAATCTGAGAAATACATCAAAAAATAAAACGAAGAATAATTTTGTTGATTGAAATTAGTTGAATTGTTGGCAAATGATTGAAGAAGTATTGAAATAAATGTAAATTTACTTTAACTCTGTAAAATGTTTACAATTTAGAGTAGTATTGCAATGAGCGTTTTTTACTGTCATCTGGAGTGTAAAATGGTGCGTAGCTGAGACGTAAAGTTGATTTGTTACGATTGAAGAAGAAGGTTGTACAAAGATACCGAACTCGACGAGGATTATATTTCTCTGGTAAATCAATGGCATACAATGGACGAACCAGAATAACCAGGAATAGAACCAGTTCAAGAAAAATTATTAAAATCCAATAAGGTAATGGACGATCAGAAACACGACAATTGACTTGATCGAGGTAGGGCTTGACAAAATCAAAAGGATCTTGAACTGGCGTATCATCTGTGATAATGAACTCTTCACCACCGATTCCTGGGTCCAAACGAAGACGATCTTTAGCTTTCAAGCAAGCCCAGGCTGCATTCCCCACATAAGTCACTTGGGCCCGCGTAAATACATTGTCAACTCGAGGTAAACAGTTGTTAGGTGATGTTTTAGCAAGCTTGATTATTTGACTGACAAAGAATGGATCTTCCTCTCCATACAAAAGAGTTGGACGCAAAATAACTGTTGATAAACGACCAATGCCTGTTGCAACAGAAAAAATAATTAGTATCAAACAATTAAAAGAGGATAAACTGAAAGGCAAGCACTGAATTAGAATTGATTGTTGAAATTCATCATCATTCGTCGCTTTTGATTTATTATTCAGAATGATTTTCGATCGTTTGATATTCATTGGTTAATCATATCATCAAAATGCGAATAAAATTTGATGGTTTAACAGTTTTTAAGTGAAATTCAATGTTATTTTGTCGTTAAATGGCCTAATTATAATGTAAAATCACAGTAAACCAAAAACGGTTAACAATGAAAATTTGAATCAAGGTTGAGTAAACATGAAAACGATACTTTTTTAACCGTTTCTAACTATTCTTGGCAAGTTAATTGGAGTGACAATCAACCATGAAAATATTAATCTGAAAATAATATCCATTAAAGTAACAAATTTTCAACCTTAAAACCAACAACTATCTTTGCTTAAAACAAATAACCAATTTTTCCTTGGGCCATGAAACGGATAAGATCAATACGATTAACCAATAACATTGAACTATTTTTGCTTGGAATAATGATGAGATTCTTCTGGAATACAAGCTCAACTATCACCAGAGCTTCCAAATTTCAACAATCATTTCGATAACCAGTTCCTGAGACAATTTGGTCTAATATTTACCATTCCGCAAGCTTAATCCATTTCCTTTGACAACTCTTAGCTCAGCTTCATATTTGCTGCTGGCATAAGGTCCAAGCACAGGTTTCTTAGGAACCATACAAGTATTTTCGGCACCATAATAGATTGGATCAGGTCCACAAATAACATCCGCTGTTGATACGTAAACAAAGTATCTGATATTTGATTCAACAGCACAGTTAAGTAAATTTTCGGTACCTAAATGAAGAAAAAAATGGTTATTAAAAATCGGTCAATAATTCAATTTTGATTTACACCCAAAGAGCAAAATGAGAGGACTATGTTTGGTATTAGTGAAGGCGATCCAAAAAATAGACAAGACTATGTCCTAAAGCCAATGAATCCATTTTAATGATTGGAATGGTCATACTTTGTAATGTGGTTTCGGTGAACATTTTATAAAACTTGAACAGCTATGCTTCGTCATAATCTATGCATACGCATTCATTTCCAAAAACGACAACGAAATGTTAAAACAGAATCTCATTTGATGTGCAATTTGATGAAATTAAATCTCAAATTGATTTCAAATATGGCGATAGTCTTGTTTATTTGTATGGACGTCTTCACTAATCGGGAAACAATAAAGATTAGGCTTTCTCATGACTCTAGTCTTTTTGGTTTTAAGATAAGTTTTATTTCGCGTGTTGGGTTTTATTGAGATGTAAACATTGTTAAACAAATTAGGAACAATTGATAATCTTCTTGATGGAATTTTTAACCTTTAATTGAGTTTTACATTCACATTCATGCGGAAAAATTAAAAAAATTGAAATTTTTGTCCATTTTTGATGCAAGTTTGCATTTTTTTGTATTTCCCTCCCTTGTATACAATTGGTTTTACATTTGAGCGTATCTGTTTGGATTTGCTTTTTGAGTATCTTAATCCTGTGATAAGGTGAAAATCATATTGTTTGCATGCTTTAAAACGGTTTTAAATTTGTTGATTACTAATTTTCAATAGATTGTGACTGAATTTTTGAAAATATATTCTGTAAGTTGATTTCTCAAAATGCCTGTTCCACAAGGTGTCCCTAAAGGTGAATCACAATGCTTACAAAGAGTTAAAATGGGCTTTGCAATTGGATTCATGGGTAAGTTTTTACTTTTCTTGATATTGACAGAGGTAATTTCTTATTCTATTAATTTTAATCCATTTTGTTTTGTATTCCTGAATTTATTTAGTTGGCATGGGCTCTGGTTTTCTTTTCGGAGGTTTCTCTTCTTTCCGTGCTGGTCTTAGAGGAATAAATTTATTAACTAATACTGGTAAAGTAATGGTTCAAGGTGGAGGAACTTTTGGTACATTTATGGCTATTGGATCAGCAATTAGATGTTAATACTGTAAAATCGAACTCTAGAGTAACCAAGATTAATTATTCCTTGCCCGCTTTGAAACTGGAAAAATCAGACTGTATAATTCGATATTTCAATGTTCATGCCTGTAGAATGCCAAATTTTGTACTTCGCTATTCTTCAAGTACTATTCTAGTTGAAGTGTTTTTTCTGATTCTATTTAAATAACACTCTGTTTCATCAACAACATGGAATCTCATTCCATTCGCTTTCTGGATTTATTTTTTAGTTAATCCATCAAATGGCTGTATCTACTACTGTTTAACCTCAACGCATCTCTAGACTTTCTGAGACTTGGTTTTCATTTCAAACATGATCTCATTGAAGAAACTAATCTTTCAAAGATAAAAAATTATCCATAGATTTAGATCACCCGAAATGGTATGAAACAACCAAAATGTATTCCATTGAGATGGAAATCTTGATTATTTCATGATACTCAACGATTTCCTAACCTATTATCAATGGATGAAAACAAACTTACCTTCAACATTTACCGAGTAAAGTGTTTTTTCATCCGCCTTCAAATCAATGGATGTTTCAGCAGCACAGTGAATGATGCAATCAACGCCTTCCATTGCCGTTGTGACAACTTTTTCATCCCTTATGTCTCCAGTTATATATTTCATTGGTTTATCCATCTTGTGGCCTGAAAATTAGATTAGGAGTCAACAATTATTCACTCAAATTACACAGATAAGACCAAAGATATTTGAAGCGTTTCAAGAATTGAAAACAAGTTGGTTAAGAAAACTCGATAACTTGTTAAATATAAATATTGGTCAAAGGACTTACCCAAATTATTGCGATAAGGTCTTTTGTCGAAGCAGACGATCGATGAAACTGAATCATCTTGCTCTTGAAGTAATTTGATTATGTGTTGTCCTAGAAATCCACTTGATCCAGTTACCAAAACCGAGATTTTGTTAATTGTGAGTGATTGTAATGATGGATAATCATTCATGATTCAATTTGAGATTCCCAACTATGAAGACACAAACACTTGATAATATCCTTAGTGGTTATTGTATACCAACTAATTGATCATTAATTGACTGGCCATGGTTAAAACAAGACAAAAATGTTTTTAGAAACGAATCAACAGTAATGTAAGAATTGGAAAAGCAATTTTTGTCATCAACTTACAAGTTAATCAAAATACAACTGAATCAGAGCAGTAAAGTTGATGTATGATGGCGAACTAAATCAACTCAGTAAAAGTAAAGTTGAACTGTAAATAAGCGGTTGAGCAACTAAACTACGTGAAAGTTTCACGCTTTGTTAGTATTAATGATTTTAATGGAAGCGTACTGATAAAGGTAACAGGCTAAATGATTAGTGTACCGATGTCCATGAACTAAAGGACCATCGAGGTTAATACGGTATTTTGGTTCTTGCAAGAAATGTAAAAGAAAAATGTTGAAAACAAAATGTCGTACAATTGAAGTAAGAAAAAAGTTGAACTGACAACAAAAAAAATTATTGCTACTATTGTGATTGCTATAATAATGACAGTAATATACTAATTGTTTGTCGGTCCCTGATGGACTTGATTCTTGTTAGGATATCCTGTCGATATTGAAGCGAGGCTGTAACCTTGTTTCCTTGTTAAATTTTGATTGTCTTATCCAACTTTCAATTTGTCCTCAATTTAGTTTTATTTTTGCTTTTACCTTAATTTAGCTTCCACCTTTTTCAACAAATGAATAGACGGAATAATAAAAAGCTGTTAACTTGAATCACAAGTAATTGTGATTGGGAAAAGAAAAGTAAAAAGAGAGTAACTTGAGTAGGTAAAGTTGATTTTTATTTACTTATTTATCTATCTGTATTTATTATTGACTCCCATTGTTCAAACTATTCTTAGAATGTCAGGTTTTTTGGTAACTGCCTTCAAAAATTGAAAATCATCATCTTCTTCTTTTAGTTCATCTCTAAAGTATTGCAGTTCACCAATAAAACCGGCTAATACACTTGCTGAGAAGTTAATTTTCATCTTGCAACAATTGAGGATTTGGTTGAATGATTGTTGAAAACGGCGCTTGTAGTCGATCAGCTTTTAGTAGTTCCAACTTTTAATAGGCAATCCTTGGACTTTAGTCACTGATTGAGGGTAATTCAGATCAGGAAATGAACATTCAGCGAGAAACTTTCGGTCAGATTAATCAATAATTTTAAACAAGAATATTTGTCTAATTTATTCAATCAAGAGTTGTACCAGATGGGACAAATGGAAACCAGAAAGACATGAATTGGTTGGTCATTTGAAAGGCAATCCACAGAATACGTATCATTGTTTACAAAAGAGGAGGGGGAAAAAGATACAATTGGATATATGTATAAATGATGATGACATTGATAATGATGTTGACGTTTTTAATTAAACAATCTTACTGTTGGTTCAATCACACTGAAGCATATTTAACTTCATCGAAAGCTTTTCTTGCTTTCTTTAGTTCTTCATTCATAAATAGAAGGTCCTTAATCCTAGAGTATTTGCGTTTATCTTTCCGCATAAGGAACATGATATCTTCCACAGTAACTTTACCAGAGCGTCCAAGTTCCATAGCTTTATGAGTGACTTCAGCAATATATTGAATGACCAGATCTTCCAGTAAATCAACAGATTCAGTATACGGATTTTGATCATCACCAAATCCATACATCATACACCGAAGCTCCTTGGAGAAAAAGCGTTTCTTTTTATCACCAAGCTCTTGTGGTGGGATAACCTCCAATTCTTGGCCATCGTCTCCTTCATCTGAATCGTCATCTTTTCGGTGCATTGTGAACAAAAATTAGTAATAAGAACAGGACAAATAGTTTAAATAAACGTTTATTAAATCTTCAAGTACATGTAGTATCACTGCGTACATTGAAGCAACATTTTTAAGGAAGAAGTCACTAGATGTCGCTGTTTTAGCCGCTTACTTTAAAATTTTTTAGCAACAATCTGTCAATCGTTGACCTTTGGTCATTTGTATAACTCTATCTTTGGTGAATATTTGACCTGCTCTTAGTGAATGAAATATTGTCAGACATCGTTCCTTATATTTACTCAGTTGTGATCATTTCCATACATCTAATTGATTCTTTATACAAGTGATGCCAACCAAGTTAGAGATGGATCGACGGGAAACAGACGGCGAGACAAGTGAGGAGTCGCCTGTGTCCACTCCAACCAAAGTCTGTAAAGGCAAGAAAAAAGCCCGCGTTAGTTTTGAACTCATGTTGTACACTGTCTACTATTTTGAAGACGGCCCTGAAGACATTGAATCTCGAAGTAAATACTGGGAGTATGAAGCCAGTTATCGTGATCGTTTTAATCAAAGGATTTTAAGGACTGGAGACACATTAGCGCCCATTTTGTCAATTGAACATCGGAACAGAATATTTGAAGAAAGATTCAAAGATTTTAGTTGCAATGGAAATTATTAACCCGCTTTTTCTGGTTATCCTTTACTGATGACAACAAATTTTAAAGATGCCCAAGAGACGTTTCATTTATATGGAAAAACGGAAAACCGCAATTTATCTAATCATCAAGAATTAATTTATATTTCTGGTCATCTGAATATTCCTCGCTTTCATTGTGTTCCTTTTCTCAATTCGATCTCGACACTCTCTATTGAGTATTTCCAACTCATTTCATACACTCTTTTCATGAAAAAATTATTGTAATTTTTCTCAATTTTTATGTAAATCGTGAAGATATCAAGCTTCCAATTTTACTAATTGTAATCATTTATCCTTTAAAAATGTAATTCATCCATTTTCAATTCATTTGCCGCTTTGACAGCTAGAGACTGATGTTAACTTCAGTTGCTGAAGACTAATGCAGGCGATTCTTATATTTTCAGTATTAAATAATATTTGATTTCAAATCATGTTTTCTTACTTTATTACAAGCTTTAGAGACTGATGTTTAAGTCAGTCAGTTGTTAAGCCCAAGACCAGGCGATTCTTATATTTTCAAATGCAGTAAAGATTATGTTTTCTTAATTTCTTACAAACCAAGAGATTGATGTTTAAGTCAGTCAGTTGGTAAAACCGAGACCAGGCGATTCAGTAAAGATTTGGCTATAACCATGTTTTCTTACTCTTATATTTTTTCAAAATGTTTCTGTGTTCCACCATCGATATTAGGTTAGCTTTCAACTTATAACTCTAGATATTATTTGATATCGGTTATAATTATCGTGTACCTATTTTGTTTCTTACCGATTGGTTTTACTTCTGCCCTTCTACTAGATATCAACAACTATGACTGACCTTGGTCAAGAAGATCAAAATAAAATTGATGGAGATGAAAATGAACGATCATCTCCTGTTCCAGCCAAAGTTCAGATATCAGGGATTCTCCACATTGTTCTATCATTTTTACTTTGGATTCTTTGATAAGAAAAAAGAGATTCTGTCCTTTTAAGGCAACGTAAATACGCTTAAGTCTTTATCTTAAGTTGACTTTGCTTCTGGATTCATCTCCACATTAGTCATAATTAGTAAAAGTCCATTCACTTATTTTGTTTTAAGGGCATTTGTAGTACAATATTTGTAAAGTGAACAAGTTTCCAGCGATGAAACATTGTTCTTGACCACAACAGACGCGACTTACAAATGTTCCAAGTTGATTGTATTTATTGATATTCCTATGTTTGGATGTTTTGATAGTTACGCTATCCGGGAAAATAGTAAATATAGTTGGTAATAAAGTCTATTATGGATTGATAGATCAACAAGATAATAAAATTCAATCACAACTGCGATAAATATTTATTTAATTTACAACTGAACTCTAAACTAGGAAGCACAATTACAATCTACTTCTAAATTCATCATCATTCTGGTTTGTCAGATTTAGATTGATTCATTCAGTGATTCTCAACTGTTTGATAAGCATTGACAAATCTATTGTCATCATTATTATTACTAAAAGTTATAATTAACACAATTGTCACACTTATGTACAAATTGACACTAATACTGCAAGAAAAATGGACAAAAACAGGCAAAGAAAAGTTTCTTTCAAATTTGGACTCTGTGAGTGTGTAGAGACAGAAAAACTGAGTCCAATAGTTTGATTTAAAAATTGCATCGACCGACAGTTGCCGAGAAAATCGAGTCTAAAGTTTAGACATCGAATCGCTTTTTGTGCAATAATAGAACGAGATTTTTTCATGAAAGCAGATTGTGTTGAAAGAAGTTTTGATGGTTAACCAGAAAATAAACTTATTTTGAGAAATAAAATCTTTTGTTTCTCAACATATCGATAAGTTCGATTTTAAGTCTAACCTTCCGCATTCTGTGACCGTAAAACTTAGAGGGCTGAAACTTATTATGAGTGTACGAAAAGTGTTGATACACATCATAGATTGAATAATTTCTTCAATTAAACAACAGTTCTCTAGATTTTGGTCATTGGTCTGAAAAGTTTGATCCTCAATTTTTCGTAAATGGAATCGCCTGAAATCGCCATTCTTTGATCAATCACTAAATTTTATCATGGACTATAACACAATATGAATGAATACCGAAAAAAGGTCAAGCGCAGTCATCTGGCAATGAATATTCTTCTGAAACATCATAAGATTTGTCTTTTCTTAACTATTCACCTTCATAAGAGTAAATAAAGCAAATGAATGTATTAAATCGCAAATTATAAGTAATAAAATGGCATTACTTTTTGTTTTGGTTTCTTGATTCATCGAAAATTTCATTATGTTATAGTTCAGAATAGAATCTAGTGTTTGGTTAAGGAATAGCGATTGTAAATGCTACCATTCTCGAACTATTGAGGTTCAAACTTTTTAGACAAATGGCCAAAATCAAGAGAACCGTTGTTCTTTTGGAGAAATTATTTGATCGCTAATGTGTACAAGCAAGTTTTATGGATTCAGGATAAGTTTCAGTCCTCTAACTCATGTGGTCACAGAATGCGGAAGGTTTAAGGGAAAATCGAATTTAGCTGTTTGTTCAGAAACCGAAAACTTTATTTCTTTCAATAAGTTTATTTTCTGGTCAACCATTTAAAGTTACACCAGACAAATAAGTTTCATGAAAAAATCTGCGTTCATAATTAGACAAAAAGCGATCGAAGTTTCAACTTTGAACTCTAATTTCTTGCCGTCTGTCGATCGGAGAAATTATATTATCACATGAATGGACTCGTTTCTCATTTCTCATAAAAATCTAAATTTCAAAGAAAGTAATTTAGACTCGTTTTGCCTATTTGTGCATAAA